AGTGGTTAATATCTTTCCTATGGAATGGGACCCTCCAATAAAAAAGAACATCACTTCATTAACAGGTTACTAGCGCTGCTCTATAGGCGACCCTGCCAGTCTGCAGTGATAGCAGAGGAGGGTGAAGTTTAGCAACCTCACTGCTGGGCTTTGGTTACATTTACGGATATGACAATTATTTATTATCACCCACCCCTAATTCTTCAGTGATATGAAGCTGAAGTCAGCTATTTGCCAACTTCTCGTTTGAATTTTTCCGTTCCACCTTAAAGGTTGCAGCAGTTACATTCTGGTGCCTCAAGTGTCAGTACTGCTGGGCTATTTAAGGTGGAAGCTAGCTAGACATCAATACACTACTAGCGATTTCTTATGCTTGTTATGTCGAAAATGACCATAATACATTGAAACGACATTAAAAGATAATACGATGGTTATCACAATTTTTTAAGAGAGAAAATACTCACATTTGTGTGTTTCTTCGAATGCTTGCGCAGCCATCTTGCTGGTTTTTTTGTTTTTCTCATAACACTCTGTTTGGAGTGTGTCTCTGAAAAACCTCTGTTTAGAGGGCCCTAACACTTCACCCTACCCCTCTGTCTCGACAAAAATCGGGACACCCTATGCCCTAGACATGAACACGCACAACGGAGTGGTAGGGTTAAGTGCTAGAAGCGAGGGGTGAATGGGATTGGGCCTTAGTATGCAGTAGCCACAGTCTCTGATGCTCTGCCCACATGTAGACAGAGCATCTGATATCTTTTGCACATTGGTCACAACCATCAGAATTTTGTCAGCCGCATTCTGATTGGCTATATGGACAAGTAGTTGCCCGAACCACAGACCGAACCTTTAGAGTGAGATAGTCACTGGATTACATCTGCATTACAGTTTAGAAGTTTTTCAAGAGTTTTCTTTGAAGCATTTAATAGCTTTTAAAGGAGATTTGCTCACAAGTTTGCAGACAAACCTGTTTCCTGTGGGTTTGTTTTTGTTACAGCTCCCCCCTACAGGTCATGCTAAAACAGCAGTCTGTGATTGGTTATTTTGCGTGACAGTCAAACTGCCCATTCCAGCCAAAGTGGACAGCTCTTGGTCAAGTCAAGGTGCAAAATGTGCCACACTCTCTGACGATCGCAGGTTTGCAGGTTTGCAAGACTAATTATGCAACAACTACATGGAAAGCCAGTGGCTCCTGTGCAAGTTTGTTTGTTACAAACAAGACAATTTGTTAAAAAACTACACGATTAGCTTGCATAGCTTCTGCCCTGTGATTAGCTGATTTACTGACATAAATGATCCAACTCTGAACTGTAAGGGTATTTAATACAACAAGTTGGCCTAAATTAGCTCTATTTTCAGAAGAATGATTACAAGTATTTAAGCAAAATTGTTTGATTTGCAAGGATGTGCAAAGTCTAATCATAATCCTTTGTGATACGTTTATTTTAGAGACTTAAATCACAATTATTGCTGTCAAAACAAAATGCTGTATCTCCAAAATGGTCAGTTCACAGGAGAAGGAAAAAATCTTATTAACTTATAATAGAAGTTAATGTAATGTTTTTGTCTGAGCAATTGTGGACCATCTGTGCTGATCCATTCATTATGAAATCTTCACACAAATTAAAGGGCAGCTGGTGTTTGCAAATTATGCAAAAAAGCAAACAACAACAAAAATAGAGATACACATGATGAACTGTGTGGTCTTCCTGCTTCCTTAAAGAGTCCCTATCAATTTTCCTCACCAGTTTGATGTAGTATATAAACACTGTAAAAGTTTCAAAGTGTACTGTCCACTCCTCAGTCCATACAGACCACATATGGGAGCTAATCTGCAAAAAAAAAGCCCATTTTCAGTTCACTGCTTTTTGTGATGTCATGAACACCAGCACATTTACATGTATTCAGCCTACAGCAGTTTAGCTCCACCCACTCACACTGAAGTTATAAGGAGTGTTGCAGCCTGGACTACTAACAAAAACAGCACATTGCATAAGACATTGGAAAATGGTCAGGTAAAAATGTAACTCGTGTTATGTAAAATCAAAAATGTAGGTTATGTGCTCTTCAAACTTCACTATCATCTCATCTTTATAGTCTCACTTCTCAACACATGGAGCGATTTCTAACACTTTACGTTTTTCTCACTTCTGTACAGTCTGTTTCTGTTCAGTCAGACTGGTGGAGCTTTTCTCACACCTCTTTGGTGATTCTTAGTTGGAGCTGCTGGAATGGAGTTGGTAGGACGTGTCCTTCCTGTACCTGTGCTGCTGTATTCAATCAGGTGAGTGTTAAAAATAGTGCGAGACACAATGCAGTTTTGGCGCGCACACCGAGCGTGGCGAAAAAGCTCTTGAGAGCTGAGAGAAAAATGTGCGATGGCACTTCCTTCCTTCCCGGGCAGCGTTCCACCCTCACCCCTGACTAGACTATTTCAGGAGGCTGCACTGTGAGGAAATAACGGCCAGGAGAAACGCTTGCTGCAGACGGCAGGAGTGAGACAGAGTCTGTTCATCAGTGCTTTTCAGTGGTGTGAGTGTGAGTGCGCTCTCCTTTAATGTGTTTCTTTATGTACCTGTGTTCAGGTTATAGTAAGGTTGTGTATATCAGTACTCCAAAGTACGCACCATGCCTGGCTTGTGTTCTCCTGCAATCAACCAAAGATATCAAAAAATGATATCTTAGCAAGTGAAATCATGTCTAATATAAATGTGAATAAGATTGTTGTCAGAATATTTTAAGATATTTCTAGAAAATTTATTCCTATTTAACTTGTTTTAAAGGGACCATCTCAAACATTTTTTTACATTTCATTTACCATCTTGAGGCAATAATTCATAACTCATTTTTACATCACCGTTTTCTAACCTCTCTTTATCTCTCAGATGAAAACAGACTGTTTTTGTTACTATGCCTTTAAGACTGGCATATGTGATCTCTGGCCACTGGGGTGGTACCCCCTAGGGTACATCTCAGTACCTTTAGTCAGGGAACATAACTGTATCATAATCCACTGAAATTATATTTTCTAAGTTGTATTGACTCCACGCTCCCCGTCTCGTCTCCAGGCTTTTTATTTTATCGTTCTGTTTTAAAACGTTAGGTTATGAAAAGGCACAAATACGTACTTTTCACCTGGAAAAACTTATTTAAGGTGCACAATTGTTGAACCTTTGAGGGATCATTTACATTGTTTGTACTTTGATAGACGAAAAATGTACCTGCATAGAACCTTTATTTCTAACAGTGTATATGGACTGGGGAGTGAGTAGCTTAGCAGTGGTCACAGGCTACATCAAAATCTTTTATTTCGACAAGTTTGGTTTTCTGTGATTTGGGCCTTTTAAATAATTTTATCTAGAAAAATGTGTTTTATTCTATTGCTTGTTTCAAGACACAATGCAGATAAATTTCGTTTCAATAAAATAAGACCTGGATAAAATTACTTACAACACATCTAGACGTAAGTTAAATAGTCTTACAATATTCTAACAACAGTCTCATAATGGGAAATATTACATATGTATGCTAGATATGATGAAATATAATGATAAATTCCATCCATTTTTCAAAATGTCTGAATTATAAAATCAATTAGGTGCAAAGTCATTCAGAGTGGTTTGGTGTGAAATGCTCCGTTCTAGAAAAACTTACCGCGTCAGAATTGTTCAGAGTGGGGATGATAGGAACCAGACGTCCACCTCTAAAAGCTCCCTCACAGAAGGTTATTACATGAAATGGTTATGAATACGCTAATGCCTGAGACACCATTTTATGATAGTTTCGTGAACTTTTTTTTTTAGATTTATTGCTGTTTTACCATTATAAATGTTACATATCACTGCTGTTGGAACAAAACCTTGTATCTCCAAAATGCTAACTTTACAGGAGAAGGAAAAACACACTCAACTTTTAATGTAAGTCAATGGAACCAGACATTTTTCCGAGTCATTTTGGGCCATTTCTCTTGGTCCATTCCTCATGCAATTTACACACAATGTAAAGGGCGTCAGGCATTTTCAAATTATGTCACAAACTGAAAAATGAAAAAAACTCAAAAATCTACAACTCTGAATGGCTTTGTTCATATCTGGGTCTCAGAATTATGAAGAAATATAAAAAAATGATTTCACTTTCCAAGACAGTGTTTTTTTTTCCTTTCTGCAGTGCATTATACACATCGCTAGATTTGAGCAAAGTGAATAGGCATGCAGCTGCTGGAAGGCATTCAGTGATCAGAGAAAAGCATCTGCTTGAAAGTGTACAAAATTATCCTGGAAGTCCTTGGACAGAAAAGGATCTCTAATGAGAAATCATTTTCCCATTTCACTCACATCTTAAGTCTGTCGCTCACACAGAAAGTTAGAAAAGGAGAAATTAAGGTTTCAAGGTTGCTGCTGCACCTGATTTTAGCTACATGAGTCCATATTCAGAGATAACAGTGTGTCAAACAGTGTCAGAAACTACATAAGCAAGTCTATTAGGGATTGTTGAAGAACTCCACACAGTTTGAGGTGAGTGTGATCATTAAGGCACGATGCTAATTGGCAAAATATAAGCTTCCACATCTTGGGAATGACAATAGTCTACTAAAAATGGAAACCGTGGACACCAAATATATCTTAGCTGATCGTTGATGTTGGAACAAAACCTCGTATCTCTCACTTTATAAGAGAAACATCAGGTTTTAATGTGAGTTAATGTATGAAGATTTTATTTAGTCATTTTGGACCATTTGTATTGATCCATTTATTATAAAATCTTGTTATGATATAAATGGCAGCTGGCACTTTCGAATTATGAGGGAAAACAAACGACAAAACTACAGGGTTTCATTCTGACAGTGATGATATAAGGGGAATATTTTATGGCTGCTACTTTAAGTAGTCTTTAAAGAACTTCATCAAATTCAACCTCAAGCACCACATAACGCTTAACAACGAATGTAAACCAACAAAAAGAGATGATTTCAAAAAAGCGGGCGCAAAACACGTGCGTACCTGATGAGGATGGCCACGCCCACATCCTCACAGCTCTCGTAGACTCTTGCCCAGGTGTTCTGCACAATGTTGCGCTCCAGGTCGCTGAGCGGCTCAGCGCGCTCCCTCCGCTCCGGCTCTCCCACATCCCTCTCTTTCTCCATCCCGCAGGTGCACGGTGGGGAGCCCGGGCCCGAGCCGGGCGACGAGGGGCCGATCAGGGGCTGAGGGGGCGGAGAGGGGCGGCGCAGGAGCCGCAGGGGGCAGCAAGAGCGCAGGGCCACGGAGCAGAGAGAGCAGAGAGTGTCCAGCGTCCCTCTCACCCCTTGCCCCTCGCCACACCCTTGGGCAGGCAGGATGCCCTTGACTCCTTACACCTGTCTATACACAGGCGCCGTTTCCCTCTCTGTCTCTCTCTCTTTCCTTCTTCCTCGTCCTCTGCCGTGCACTGTGCGAGCACTGTGGTCTCTCTCTCGCTCTTCTCTCTCCCGCAGATGTTGTCGGCGCTCTGAAGTTGTGGCTGTGTGAGGCGCTGAGATACAGAGCGTGAGGAGGAGAGGGAGGGAGGAGAGTGGGTGTGCGATGGAGAGAGAGAGAGAGGGGGGAGTGAGAGATGGAGAGCAGGAGAAAGAGAGGCAGAAGGAAAGAGTTGAAGGAGGAGAGAGTGAAAGAGAGAAATGATGGAGAGAGAGAAATGGGGATGGGGGGAGAATTCCTGTGTTACCTAACAACCCTTTCCTCTCTGTTCTTTGTCAACATGAATGCTCTCTCGCTTTGTCTTTGTCACACGCGCTCTTCTGGGTAGCTGTAAATTACAGCTGTGTTTCTCCCTTCATGGAAAAAGTCACATAGACAAACAATGCAAGGACAAGCACATGCTTACTTGCTTGCTTAGGGTAGTCCACTGTGCCTGATGATGAACTGGTGGTCCATTTTCAATGTTTACCAAAAGGAAAAATGCTGTGATTTGTAATTATTTTAACCTCAGATTCCTTGGCCTTTGCTCAATTCCTGGGATGAACATATGAAATAACACATTTTCAGTGACTTCACTCTGTACACTCTGTACATTTATATTACACATGTGATGTTGGGGTGAACCTGCGGGGAATGAAAGTGTGGAGGTGCTGTGTCCTTCACTCTGTTCTCCTCTTACATGGCCTGCTGTTAGTGTGTAAGTGTTTGTATTTGTGTGTGTGTGTGTGTGTGTGTGAGGGTTGACAACATGGACAGGCTGCTGACTGGCTACAGTGACCCCCCCCAGGACCCCCTGGATTTTGCACTTTGGTTATCACACAGTGGAAGGATAGCTGTGGATTGTTTCAGATCTGAAGCCCCTTGATTTTCTCCTTTCTCTCAAAGATGAAAGCTTTAAGCGCTGTTTATCTGATGGGGGCAGTTTTGGTGTCTACCAGGTCTTGCACAGTTTGAGTACCATTAACTCTTTGACCTTACTTATGCAAATGTCTCCTGAAAATGAATAACCTGTACTTAATGGCTGTCAAGTAACTAAAAGGAGGTCTCTGACTTTGGCACAGTACTGTAGGTTCTCTGGTTGCTGTAACATCTGATGTGGGACGCACACTGCCTGCCACAGATAGCTAAGGCCTGATGTGTTGTGTCAGGTGCAACAATGGCTCTCCTACGCTTCTTCACCAGGCTACTTCCCCATGGAAACGTTTCACCAGGCAATTTTCAATGCAGCCTTTAGAGACCTTACGGTGGGAAGGCTGTATTCTGTCTTATAACATCCAGATGGTGTGGTCAAGCTATCAAAATTGAAGGAGAATGATGGTGGTCAGGGCCAAATTAAGATCCCTTGGTGACTCTGGGCTTTACAGCTATGGTGCCCCATATGCTCAAGAAATCTACAACCATAACAGTCTCCCGGTCTAGCACTGTGCTTATATATTATGACAGTAAAGCTTTTGCTGAAGACTTGTCCTCTTCATTCTTCACAAAATATCTAAACTGAACTAAAGTTAGCTAAGGCCTTGTCAAGATTGGAATAAAGTTACGACACGATGAGTGAATTTCTAGTGGGCTGTATTTTCTATGAAACTTTAATGTTCGTCATTATTTCTAGAAAACTAAAAGTTCATGATATTGTGCCTAACATAAATGTAAAGTATACTTATTGCTGCATTATGATCATCTATGTGATCAGCCTGCAGGCTGGCTTTTCTAAGTGACTTTATTTGCTTTCTCCGCCTGCTAATACTCTCTCAGAGCAGAAAGGATGGGACAAAGTTCTACCTCCTAGACCAAGCAAAGTTAATATGGATGCATGCGCTAGGACACTAAATATGGGATTCAACACCGAACTTAGTTCAGGGTACAACTTCAGTAGTCCACTAATTGGCTTCTGATGGGAGACAGGTGTCAGCATGATTTAGTATAGTATAGACCTGTTGACATGGACAGATGTGACAATCCATTAATTGCTTTCAAGGCATCATGGAAGTTACACATGTCTTGCCTGTCTACAACATGAAATTTCTTGAGTTTTGATAATCCACTTTCAATTTGCAGCTGTCACAGTTCTTAAAGATGGCAAACACTGTGTTGACTGGCTTTGTGCAGTCTTTGCATGTTGTCCAGAAGAATGGAAATGTTCCACATTTCCATAAAACCCAATCCTGGTGATTCTTGCTGCTGGACATGATGGCTTGAGCTGGTGACTTATAAAGTAGAACTAAAACATAGTATTAGTGACAAGAAGCTGGTGTTGTGAGGCTCAGAAGCCTTAGATCTTTTGCATTCCCAACTCTTTTTAAATTACATCATTCCCAACTCCTTTCAGATTACTCCTTTCAAAACCTTGTAGCTGGTTTCAACTCTTATCACTCTTAGGAACCCTAAGGGCATCATCCAGCAATGGGTGGAATCATTCTTTTGCAGCACCTTTTGATGTCAGTGTTTCTGCATATGCACTGAGGGAGGCATTTTCTTGTATTGCAAGTGCAACTAGGAGCTGGACTATACTAACTATACTAAGTTGATCTTGTGTAAAATGACCAAAGGAATGAAGAAAGGACATGGACTCCAGTGGTAAGGGAATGATCAGAAACAAATAATACCTTCTGTTGGATACCATCTGAAAGCTTGCTAGCCTCTAGCCTCTGTCCTTCTGGGTTTTCCCACAGCAGTGGGGCAGCAGTTAGCCGATGTCAGGGCTGCAGGGCTTCCGGTTACAGTGTGTGGCCACAAGGAGACCTGTAAGGAGTTTTGGTCGTGAAAATGCATATTAACGCTTGAGTAAAAGTCTGCCAAAGGATTAAACTGTTTAAGTGTTGGTTCCAATTATTGGAAGAATGTGGGTTTGATTGCAGGTGATGCCCCAGCCATTTGTGGCTGGGAGTCCAGGTGAGCATGATTGGCTTCTCTCGCTTTGGATGGGTAAGATGTTCATCCATCTCCCCCTGTCACTTAGCGCAAGGCTAGCCAACTGTTTATTGCTAGATAACTTATCAGAAGTGGCAAAAAGCATTCTTCTCCAAGCATGATGGCTCAGAGGAAGCATGTGCTAGCCTTCATCCTCCCACTTTGGTAGCATCATGGGACTGGGGGGAGACCTAACTAGTGGGTGGAATTGGAAGTGAAAAAATTGGGTAAAAAGAAGTCTGTCAAATGCTTGAAGAGAAAGAGAGAGAGAAAGAGAGAATAAGAGACAGAACAAAACAGATAGACACACATACATCCACATAGAAAACTGCTCTGGAGCTTAAGAACAAGTCACTGTATCTGAATTCACCAGTCTCTGGAGATAACACAGATCTTGGCTGTGAGCGAGAGAATCTAGGTCCATGAGCCATTTTTAAGTCCATCCATATTAATCTGAGCTCATCACATTGGAAGTAAGATCATTCTCTTATGTCAGGGACCAGACTGGGTCTTGTTGAGTTTTGACTGAGAGAAAACCTTTAAGTGTTGTTAAAAAGAGAACAGAGCCAGTCATTAAGGTGAATAAGCCATATCTGACTTGGGTACACATATACATACACCAGTGTTGTGGCACCAATGCTGCCAACCTTATCCTTAAGCAACAGATCAGGTCTGGCTTCTGGAAGGTTTCCTAATAAAAGATGCAGATTTTGATGCAAAAAGACAAAAAGAACAAAATATGCCCTGGAACACCACAACTGGACATCTGTGGTGAGGTAAGTAAGTTAACAAGTTCAAACAGACTGCTTAGAAGATCAAGACTTATTTATCAAACAAAGAAGCTGCTGGTGTTCTCAGAACAATGGCCTGGCCACCCCAGAGTCCAGACCTCAATATCTTTGAAAGTGTTTGGGATTACTCGGATCATGAGAAGCATAAAATGCAACCAACCAATAAGACTGAGCTTTGGAGGTGTGTAAGGATGTCTTTTTCAATATGTTGTGGCACTAAATCAGAACCAGGAAATACTGAAGTAAACTACACAAACGAGTTGCTAACTGCTAACAGTCTAATAGCTTAGGGTGACCGGACATCCCCATTTTCCAGGGACAGTCCCCGGTTTTGGTGGCCTGTCCTCAGCTGAAGCTGTCCTCGGAAATGTCCCTGTTTGTGTGTTAACTGTGTCCCCATTGTGTGTGTAACTGTGAATGTGTTACACACGACCCAGCAAATGGTTGGCAAATCTGAAGGGAACATGTTACTGCTTGACACATTTACAGTGTGTCAATTATACACCAGCTATTGGGCCACTGGTCTTTTTCTGTATCCACAGGTCTCTTTTTACTGCCAAAATATTTAATATGAATTATGGGCTCATACAACTACTGAATCTTCAGTGGTAAACATATCCCTACCTCATCCCTGCCAGGGCCACTAGACTTAGTGACTTTTGAGACCTTTTTTACTAAGCAACTTTATTTATAAAAAGCGACAAGCGACAAATCTGGCAAGGAGAAAAGCAAGAAATATGAATCTTTTACAGGACTATTGTAATTTATTCCCATGCATGCTGCTCAGAGTATCTGTAATGTCAGTCTCAGTCAGCAGCTCCTCTGGCAGCAGTGTCTTTCTCTTTCTCCTTGCACCATGCGCATGCAGACAGGAATGAGCAGCAATGATTATGTGGGGTGGTGCTAAAATCTATTGAACCGCTGTAGTTTGAGTATTTTTTAAATTGAGTATTCTGTAGTTTATTATAGCTTCACTCAGCATAGCAGACTACTGTATGATTTTCTGACATGATTTACCAAGTTACCAAGTTTTATCAGTTGGCCTTCAGTACAGTTTATCACAGTAAAACAGTCATCATGGTCAAATAGGCCTACATGAAACTGGAAATATGCCTGGAAATGTGTTATTGCACATACAAAAACATTGGATATTTTAATGATATTAACTGCCGATCTGGAAATGTCCCTG